CCCAGGCGGGTCTCGAATCCGCAGGCTCAGGCAATCCACTCACCTCAGCCTCCCAAAGGTGCGGGATTACAGGCTGAGCCACCGAGCCCGGCTGAAAACTGAACCTTTTTAATAGTCTTGGCATAAAACTCAGACAAAACCTTTATGAGTGCATGTAAACTGTCTTTTTAAAAATGGATGCCATTTATGCATATGTTCTGCTGCAGAAATACTGATGTCTGATTGTGAGATAATTAGGATGGAAAGTGAAGGGACCTCATTGATTTGTGCTTTTTGGAGCTGCCAGATTCTTCTAGTATTGTGCTTCTCAGGATGAGGTATGTGTACCCCTGAGAGTGTGCCAGGGTTATAGGAAGTTATAGCACACACATGCATGATTGCCAGGAATGTCAGATTTATTTGTTGATTTGATGGGAAACGAAATATTAAAATATGTATTGTGGCAAAATGCAAACTTTCCATACATTGAAGAGATAAAACGTGAGATTTCAAAGAAATTCGGACATTGTGGGCAGTGGGGAGAGACTTATCCTTCATTTTCTGCCTCAGCTGGAGGTGCTCAAGCACTGCTCTCATGCAGACAGAATTCTGACAGTTTGGATTGCTATGTTTCTGACCGACAAGGCTTAGGATTTTGAGCCTGTGGAGTTCTGTAGGACCACACAGGATGGCAAAAACTTCTGAGACTATGTCTGTGTCAAAGAAGGAATAACTCTAGTGTATCAGTCAGACTGACTCGATAAGGAAAAAAGATGCACACAAGTTAAAGCAGAGATGATTACTTAGAAAAATCACTTGGGCCGGGCTCGGTGGCTCAGCCTATAATCCCGCGCCTTTGGGAGGCTGAGGTGAGTGGATTGCCTGAGCCCATGGGTTCGAGACCTGCTTGGGCAACTTGGCGAGACCTCATCTCTATAATAAATCAAAAAATTAACTGGGTGTGGTAGCGTGCGCCTGTAGTTCCAGCTACTTGGAAGGCTGAGGCAGAAGGATCACCAGAGCCCAGCAGGTCGAGGCTGCAGTGGCCGGGAGTGGCCACTGCACTCCAGTCTGGGCGACAGAGTGAGACTCCAACTCAAAAAAAAAAAAAGAAAAATCACTTGGGCCTTGAGGAGACTAAACTTGACAACATTGGCAAATTATTCAGAATGGTTTTCAAAGTTGTGTCTTAAGTGCAGTAAACCAGTCACAAAAACACAAATACTATGTTAGTCCACTTATATGAACTGTCTAAAGTAGTCAGACTCAAGGAGTCAGGGACTAGGAGAAGAGGGAATGGGTGGTTGTTGATTAAAGGCTACAGAGTCCCAGTTTTAAAGGATGAAAAAGTTCTAGAGATCTGTTTCACAACTTTGTGAATATACTTAATACTACTGAACTGTATGCTCCAAAATAATCAAGATGGTAAATTATATGTTATGAGCTTTTCACTACAACTTTTTGAAAAGTTGTGAATTAAGGTGTCCTGTACACATCTCATTCCTTTTTGTTTGTTTGAATTAAGCTTTATTACAAATGTTCTTTCTCACCAAGTTTTGTGTGAATGTGCTGTTTGCTGTGTTGTGTTTTGTTTTGAAGTAGGCAGCAATGGCAGCAACCACGGGGGACACTGGACTCTCCAAACTGCAGTTTGCCCCCTTTAGCAGTGCCTTGGATGTTGGGTTCTGGCATGAGTTGACCCAGAAGAAGCTGAATGAGTATCGGCTGGATGAAGCTCCCAAGGACATTAAGGGTTATTACTACAATGGTAGGTTATAGAAAACTCCATCTTCCATCATCTTCTGTTGTCTTCTCCGTCCTCCAGTAGAATGTCAGTTTTCCTTTAGAAAGGGATACCCTTGTCTTTTATAATCAGTGCTCTTCACTAGTTGCTATTTTGCTTCCTGAATTTTGAACTAAGTTCATTTTCTTCTTTTTCCCCCTTTTGTGGGGAAAAGAAACCCATGTTATTAATCCAAGTAATACCGATTACTTAGCATTGCTGGGGGAGGAGATTGAACATATCATTTTCCATTGACTCTTTTTATATTCTCAGCAAATCTCTTATATTCACAAGAGCTCTGTCACATTCTGCCATTATCTGTATATACGTTATCAGTGTATCATAGATAATTCGAAATTGGATGGGGCACCTTGGACTCAGTCAAGAGAACAACACTATTCACAAACATTTTTGTTATGAATGCTGCTATTTCTGATTTGTAAGTGAAAATGTGATAATGCTTTTGTCCAGGTGATTCTGCTGGGCTGCCAGCTCGCTTAACCTTGGAATTCAGTGCTTTTGACATGTGAGTATTTATTTGTTCAAAATCTAAGGTAAAGAACACTGTTTCCTTTTGGCAAGGAATGAGCCTTCTCATTTCCCTCATGAGTGGGCCACAGGAGGAACTTGGGAAGTTCTCAGTGAGTAATCAGTGCCTCATGATTTTCTTGTATCTCCCATGGAGACAGATGGCTAGATGTTTAGGCCTATCTGGTTCATTTTTCCAGAAAATATTTATTTGAGCCTATTTGGTGCCAAGTACTATCTTGATTGATTGAGACATAGATAACAACCCTTCTGATTTTGATTGTAGTTAATACTTTATAATCTATTATTGGGACCTCTTGACTTACTCCTTTAGTTGCTTGTCTATGGGCATCAATCAAAGAACATTTATCAGGCTACAGCTGTATACAGGCCACTGTGCAAGGCATTATGGGGATGTACAAAGAAATATAATAGACATGTCCTTGAATTTTTTTTTTATTTATATGGAAGCTATGGGAAATTGTTGAAGAAAAGAGAGTACTTAACTAACTAGGCATTTTCATAAACATAGTTCTTTCAGAACTACCAGGTATGACTTTTCTCTTTTTCAGAGGCGAAAACCATGGGGCGAAATGTAAAAATGGCTTGCCTAAAATCACACCTAGCTGAATTTAGAAAGCAGGGGTGACAGAAAAAAAAATGTATTCAAAAGTATATTTCTAAAATTCAGTCTGAGTAGCTATGGGGATTTTGCTGTCTTCTGTAGAAACAGGAAGGGGCTGCAATTTTAGGAGGAGATAAGTTTGGTTTAGGAGATGTTGCGTTCCAGATGACAGTCTCCACTAGTGCTGTCCTGAAGGAGCCGGAGTTGAGGAGAGAGGGTCAGACTTATTTGGGAGACATCCATGTGAAGGAGATCATGAGGCTGTACAAGAGGGAGAGAATACAGATGGTCACCGACTTACGATGGTTTGACTTATGATTTTTGGACTTTATGATGGTACAAAAATGATACATATTCAATAGAAACTATACTTTGAGTACCCATACAAACGTTTCGTTTTTTACTTTCAGTACAGTATTCAAAAAATTACACGAGATACTCATTTTACTATAAAATAAGTTTTGTGTTAGATGCTTTTGCCCAACTGTAGACTAGTGTAAATGTTCTGAGCATGTTTAAAGTAGACTAGGCTGGCCGGGTACAGTGGATCAAGCCTGTAATCACAGCACTTTGGGAGGCCAAGGCAAGAGGATTACATGAGTTCAGGGGTTCGAGACCTGCCTGGGCAACTTGGTGAGACCTCGTCTCTACAATAAATAAAAAACAAAAATTAGTCAGGCATGATAGCGTGTGCCTGTAGTTCTAGCTACTTGAAAGGCTGAGACAGAAGAATTGCCTGAGCCCAGCAGATCGAGGCTGCAGTGGCCGAGTGTGCCACTGTACTTCAGCCTGGGCGACAGAGTGAGACTCTTGACTCAAAAAAAAAAAAAAAAAAAGTAGACTAGGCTAAGCTATGATGTCTGGTGGTTTAGGCATGTTAAATTCATTTTTTACTTACAATATCTTCAACTTATGATGAGTTTATTAGAACAGAACCCCATGGCAAGTCAAGGAGTGTCTGTATAGGATAAGAAGAATAAAGGGCACAAGTAGTGAATGGCCCTGATTAGGAAGGGGAAAGCGGATATAGAGCTAGCAAAGGACACAAGGGTTGTCAGAGAAAAATCAGAATAGCATTACAGAAACCAAAGAAGGAAATGCTTTCAGGAAGGAAAGAGGAAGGTCAACAATGTCAGAAGCACAGAGGTTAGAGTTCAATACAAGGATCACTGAGTTTGTTGATTACATCATTTCTCAACTGAATTCTATACAAAAAGATGCGGCTGAAACCATGAAGGCTGAAAAATTAGACTACAGTGAGGATTACTTTTTCTGTTTTCTTATGCCTCAGCAGTGTCAACATGGAGGATTTTGGGAAGGTGAAGAGGTCTTTGTAAGGTTTGCCTGGCTTTTGAAAGTGGTAGTAGTCAAAGATTAGACACTTTAAAATAAAGTGTCCCTAAGTTTTTAAAAAGAAATCTCAAAAAAAAATCAATACATTCTGTTCCATTATGTCAATCAAATTGCAGACATAAATAACATAAATCTAAAACAATGTTAGTCTTTGTATCTTTTTTTTTTTTTGAGTTGGAGTCTCACTCTTGCCCAGACTGGTTTGGAGTGGCATGTTCACGGCCACCACAGCCTCGACCCGCTGGGCTCAGGTGATCCTTCCACTTCAACCTTCTGAGTAGCTGGAGCTACAGGTGTGTGCCACCACACCCAGCTAATTTTTTTATTTATTGCTAGAGAGCTCTTGCCAAGTTGCCCAGGCTGGTCACAAACTCCCCGGGCTCAGGAAATCCTCTTGCCTCTGCCTTCCAAAATGCTGGGATTACAGATGTGAGCCACCACACCCGCCTAGTCTTTGTATCTTTAAAAATGCATATGTGGATGTTTCTTGTTGTTGTAGCTTTCTGGCTCCATTGTAAATCCCTTGTGATTACTTGTCAAAATAAATTAAATCCTAGTAATCTATCTCCTGTTTTGCAAAATTAACTTATTTTGGAGCAATTACAATATAGGGAGAAAAATACTGGATATGTACAAGCATTAAATTGTCTGAAGATGGTGAAGGGGGAATATTAGCAGTCTGGTTTTTTGTTTGTTTGTTTTTGAGTCAAAGTCTATTGCCCAAGCTGGAGTACAGTGGCAGGTTCACAGGCTCTGCGACCTTGACCTGCTAGACTCAGGGGATCCTTCCACCCCAGCCTTCCAAGTAGCTGAACTATAGGTGTGCACCACCTTGCCCAGCTAATTTTTTGATTTATTGTAGAGATGAAGTCTCACCAAGTTGCCCAGGCTGGTCTTGAACCTCTCAGAGTGCTGGAATTACAGGCATGAGCCACCATGCCTGGCCAGCAGGCTGATTATTATGCAGTCTGGAGAAGCTAATATTCATCACAAACCAGTCTTACTCCTATCTCTATCCTGATATTAGACTGAAGTTTTATTTGGTTTTTTTTTGGGTTTTTTTTTTTTTTTTTGAGTTGGAGTCTCACTCTCACCCAGACCGGAGTGCAGTGGCCACTCCCGGCCACCGCAGCCTCGACCTGCTGGGCTCTGGCAATCCTTCCGCCTCAGTCTTCCGAGTAGCCGGAATTACAGGCACATGCTACCACGCCCGGCTAATTTTTTGATTTATTGTAGAGTTGAGGTCTCGCCTGCCCAGGCGGGTCTCGAACCCGCGGGCTCAGGCAATCCACTCACCTCAGCCTCCCAAAGGCGCAGGATTACAGGCTGAGCCACCAACCCGGCCTGTTTATTTGTTTTTTAAGAGTTTAATAATTTTATTCTTTGGAACAGTGAGAAAAAATGTTTATAGGTTTGATCCTAGTACACAATTCAAGCATCTTTAATTTCAGAAATCCAGACATCTTGATTGAAGCAGGTAAAATAATCTATGATCCTACAGCTATAACTTTCACACAATCGCTTGATTTCACAGGTCTTATTTTTTCCTTTAATCACTGAATACCCACGATATGTGAGGCACTGTGGTAAACAGTGGGGAGGTAAGCAGTAGTAAGATGTTGTTCCTAGTGTGTGAAAATAGCCCTAGATTTGAAGTCAGAGGATCTCGGATCTGTGACTAATTATGCTCCCTTGATAAGCCCTTTTGGATTTGTCAGCTTCTGTTTCCTTATCTCTAAAATAGGCTCTTGGCTCCTCATGTTCCTTTCAATTTTAAAAATCTGTGATTTTTCTGAGTCCTCCTTTTTAGGATGGCTGGGAAGTTTAATGAAAGTGCTTGGGGTTCCTCAGAAGGCATGATTCTTTATTTTCAAATTATTTTCATATTATCATTCTTTGTTTTAATTGGATATATTTGCATGGATTTGAAGAGAACGTCTTTATGAATTTATTCATAAAAAAGTGAATGTCTACAATGTGGAGGGTGTGTAGGTATTAGGAATACGAAGACTTTGAAATACATCCTCCAGAGCTCCTCTGTGGTAGGAGAGAGAGAGCTAGAAGACAAATATTTGCATTGTGGTATGCTTGGTGCTGTAATAAATGTGGACAGGTAATCATTATTTTAGGAATACTTATTAGTTGCTTGCTCTGTGTCTTAGTAATAGAATGTGCTAGGCACTGGGCACACAGACTGGAATAAGATACAGTTTAAGAGCTAACAAGCCTAGTAATCACTCATAGATGCCAAGAGTATATCTCAGCTTTTGCTTCTCACCAGATAAGTCCCTTTTACTCTGAGTCCCTGGGAGCCTTATGGATCTTTGCCAGCAGTAGCACAAGGATCCTGTTCTCTAAATTGTGTTAGGTGAATTGTCAGTTAGATAGTATTTTATCAGGCACCAACTGTCTTGTATTGGAGCACGTTGTCTAGGGTAGAGAGTACTGCTGAACCAGACCCCAAAATGTAAGAAACCAAACACTTCTTGCCCACTTAATTGTCCAGGGCTGGCATACCAGTTTTCTTCCATCTCATGGAACCATCATCCCTGAGAGCTTTTGCCTTTGTGTGCTGGTGAAGACTGAGCTGTTACTTTCAGGTAGCACAAGATGAGTGGGGAAGGAGAACCAGGATGAAATAGGTGGAAGAATACCTAGTTTTTTAAAGGCCCTGCCCTAGAAGGGACATGAGTCACTCTACTCAAATTCTGTTGGGGAGAGCCTATGGTCTTCCCTGTCTTGCAGGGAAGACTGGGAAATATGGTGCCCAAATATGTGTGCTATTTTTGTTGAAGAAAAAGAAAATAGATTTTGGTTGATAATCTCTGTAGCAATGTGAAACTGATTTAAAAAAAAAAGTTTTCCAGGCTGGGCTTGGTGGCTCAGCCTGTAATCCTAAACGCCTTGGGAGGCCAAGGTGAATGGATTGCCTGAGCCCACGGGTTGGAGACCTGCCCCGGCAACTTGGAGAGATCTCATCTTGACAATAAATCAAAAATTAGCTGGGCATGGTAGTGCGCGCCTGTAGTTCCAGCTACTTGGAAGGCTGAGGCAGAAGGATCACTGGAGCCCAGCAGGTCGAGGCTGCGGTGGCCGGGAGCGTGCCACTGCACTCCAGTCTGGGCGATGGAGTGAGACACCAACTCAAAAAAAAAAAAAAAAAGTTTTCCTTTTCCTGGACCTTGAATGTCAGACATTTGAATGAGGAACACTTCTGTGGGCCTCTTTCCCTTAAGGATATTTGTCTTTAGTCATAAGAAATATTTGTCTTTTCTAAGCCTCAATTTGGACTTAATTAAACAAATAGAAGTCATAATCCTTGCCCTCAATGAACTTAAAAAGGAAAGAGGTAGGAGTTATGCATAGTCATCTGTGCAGGACAGAGACTGTGTCTATCTTGTTCTTAACTGTATTGCTAGCGCCCAACACATATTTGGTGTGTGACTAATTGCTCAAATAATTGTTGAATTGAATTACAAGTGGTCTACATGCATGGCTGTCAAGATGGGAAGTGGTTCAGTTGATGGAAAGATGCGAGTGGACTTTGTTAGAGGATGTTACAAACAGAAACTTAGAGTTGATTGAGGAAATCAGGAGGTGAGGAAGCATGCCTCCCACCTGAGTGTGACTTCCTAGGTTCCTAAAGGTCCCCATGGGCATGTGAAGTTATGTGTGTGAAGATTCCTCCAGGTATGAAGACCAACCAGGATTTATTCCATTTTGATCACCTGCCAGCCTATTGCTCATGTGAAATAACTGGAGTAAAGCAGTCCCAGTACTTTGCTGAGTAATCACTGTGAGACTGGGCGAAGTGAAGGCCAGCTGTTTAGCTGTAACGTCCCCAAGCAGGCTCAGGCTTCAGGCCTTTGTGAGATCCATTTTTTACCTAGATAGTGTATATATATCATTGAGATTTCACTATTGGCTTTAGTATATGGGGAAGATTTATGCTCTTCTTAACAGCTATGTTAAGATACAATTCACTAACCATAAAATTTAGCCTTTTAAAATGTACAATTCAGTGGTTTTTAGTAGATTCATAGACTTGTGAGCCGTCGCTATCTAATTCCTCGATATTTTCTTCACCCAAAAGATAAACCTTTTGCAGTAACTCTCCATCCCCCCTTCTCCCTACTTACCAGCCCTAGGCAACCTTGAATCTACTTTCTGCCTCTGAGGATTTGTCTATTTTGGACATTTTATATAATGGAATCATAGGAAACTAAACTAATAAGTGTCAGGACCAGGATTTGAACTAAATCTCTTGTCTCCAAGTCTCAGGCCCTTTCCCTCTCATTATCACTTTTAAAATTCATTTTTCTGTCTACCTCCCCTGGTGGAACTTTAGTCTTGAAAAATGCTTCTCCTATGAAACTTTAGATTGTTCTCATTAATTAACTTGCATAAGTGCCGTTGTTCCTTGGAGCCTAGCTATCTTGGCAGCTGCTTGAGTTCTTGGGAGGTAGTTTTCTCTCCTCTCAGAGTGAGGCTTTGGCATGGCTCTCAGACACCTGGGCCATTTGGATATTAGGAAGAAGGGCACCTTCCTCCTCAGTGCTTGTGTCCAAATAGATCATAGTATCCTTCCTTCTGTTTCAGCATCCTGTTTCAACAGTAATTCATAATACCGAGTCTGAATGCAGAAAGCCTAGTTTACCGGTTGTTCTGCTTCCTTCTCCTTTCTTCTAGGCTTCATCTTGTCCCTTTGTGATTTCCCTTTCTCTTAAAGACAATCTAATACCCTCTTCTCACCTAGATTCAAAATATTCTTTTATTGAAGGAGCTTGGTGACAAACAACCTGTGATTTGCTGACTCATAGCTCCCCAGGGAAGACTCCAATTGAAAGTTTGCTCTTCCCCAGAACTTTGGTGTTTGAACCTTACAGATGGCATTTGACTGAGCCCTCCACTCTCATTGCACCCCTTCATACCTGTTCTAGGTTCAGATCTCCTTCAGCCTCCTGAACCCAATTTTACACAGACTGAATGAAAACCATATAGCTACCATCAATGCAGTCAGTAAAAATGCATTCTCTTTCCATGAGTTGTAAGCGACAACAATATTAGACTACTGATGAAGTGAATATTTTCATTTAGCATCTGTAACCTCTGAAACACAAGTTTATAATTTCATAGAAGAGGCCAGATTTGTCCACATCTGAATGCAGAAACTACTGTTCTTCTTTTCTCCTGACTTTGATTACTCTGAGGACTGTGAGGCCTTTGAGCCAATGTAGAGTGTGTAAACTGGGGGCACGATAGGTTGACAAGTAGCCCAGGTGGAACATGTTTTGTCTTTATGACAACCACCAGGGGTTTGCTCAGTAGCAGTTCTGTGTAAAGCCCCGTTTGGAGCTTTAGGTCAGTTAGGAGAAAACTCTGCCCTCAAGGGGCTTGCTGTCCTCCAGTTGAGGGAATATGACTCTCGTTCTTGAAAATGCTCTAAAGTATTATGCTGTTTCATGTGCCACTCTTACCAGAAGACATCGATGATGGCCTTCTGGAAGAGGAGAGATTAGAGCAGGGCCTTGAAGCCTAGGAGGGTCTGAGCAGAGGTGGGCAGCACAGTACTTTGGAGTCAGCTACTTTTGGTTTGGTTTAAGATTCAAGCTCTGCCTATTATTATGTGACCTTAGGCAAGTTTCTTAAATGTTTAAATAGCGTTTAATAGGGAAAATAACTTCTGTGAGAATTTGAACCCTGCAGAGTTCCTGGTTCAATAAATAATGTTTCCCTCTTAGGGTGAAGATGACAAAGGATTAAAAAAAAATAAGAAATGAACTTTTTTGGGCTAGAAGAGTAGTAGAAGAGCAGCATACTGGGATATTAGGGTAAAGGCAATATATAGGCTTTTTTGAGGAATGGGGGATGGTGCTTGTTGTTTAGTCCTTGACTGGTAATATTAATTTGTTGTCCAAAAAATGTCCAGTCAGTCTTCTGTTTGCCCTACAGAGCTATACCCTTTGTTTCCCACCATACTGTGGTGCTTTGTCTGTCCCTGGCTCTCCGAGTCCCAGCTGTGCCTGGCTAACTGTGTTTCTCTCGTATTTAGGAGTGCTCCCACCCCAGCCCATTGCTGCCCAGCTGTTGGGACACTGTATAACACCAACACGCTTGAGTCTTTCAAGACTGCAGATAAGAAGCTCCTTTTGGAAAAAGCAGCAAATGAGGTTAGCTGGGAAAAAGTGATGTATGGGTCATGTTTTCTGTGATCTTGGCAGGTACAGAGTTTCTGATCAGGCACATGAGTCTGTGGCAGAATCTGTGTGTAATAGGTGCCTGAAGATATATGTGGACTTTTATTTATATCCCCAGAGAAAGACTCCCAGCTCTCCCCTGCTGTGCTGGTAGGAAGGCCAGAGAGAAACATCTAGACTGTCTCCTGGAATAAACTGGAATTTCATGGCTGGGCAGAGGTTAGAAGTCAGGTTTGCTGCTCATCTCCAATTAGCCTTTTGAAGCAGCCAGATGCTCTTTAAGTGTATGTGCCTGTGGCTGAATGCCTGGGGGTGCTCTGTTCCTTGTGCCTTGAAGAGGCTTGGCAATTATGTGCATCATGATGCTACAGGAGATTATTGTGTAGTGTCTCCAGTGTCTTCAGGGCTAGATCTAATCTGCATCATCTGGTTTTCAAGGCTATCCTTGGCCTGGCCCTGCTGACCTCTTTGACCTTCAGTCCTGTCACTCTTGCCCCTACATTTTCTGACTCAGTCACAGCAAACCATGTGTAACTCCCTTCACCTACTTTCTGTTTTCTCCTCTCTCCTTGGGATATGATCTTCTCTCTGCCTGGAATGTCTTTCCTTTGCTTCTTCACATCTGAATTAGTGTGAGGAGTTAAAATGTGGGAGGAGAGTTTATCCTAGTCCTCTCTAACCCACTTAATCGAGAAGTCTTTGCATTAGTTTTAAAAAACACTGAAGTCTTACTTACACTGGTGCAGTGGTCAGGTCCTGAGGCAGGCTTCCCTCACATCCCTCAGGATGGATGCTGCTGTGACTCAGGTGAGGATGGTCATTTTTCTTGATCTGTGGCTTCACTGCTCCTGGCCTCCTATGTTGGCTGAACGTTTAATAGGGAGTCTCCAAAGATTTGGGTTAGTTCTCAGTCATCGTGAAAAAAAGCAGGTTGCTTCCCACAGGAATCCCATGCCTTGACCAGGGCTCAGACTTCTAGCAGTTCCCACCTCATGCTTCCTTGGCTTATCAGAAAGTGGGGGTCTCTCTCCAATGGTCCAGTTCCTCCAGAGTCATTATATTAGTAACAGGAACTTACTTCTCTTTGCTTATTTCCCTCTTCCACCCATACTTGGGGAATGGTTATTATTGGTGCTACTGTTTTGTCTTGCTTAGCGACACAAAGTTTAGCAACTAATCTTAGCTATGAAAACATCTTGTGATTAGCAGCTGCTGACCAGCATTGGCTTCTGCTCCTAGTCACAGTATTTGCTGAGTATACATAGACTTGAAGTTTATTCTCCCTTCTTTATCTCTCTGGGCATGATAATCTCAAATAAGGTTTTAAGAAATACCCTGTGCATATTTCAAATCACATCCTTTGAAAACCCCTCCCAGGATCTTTGTCTTCCCACCTCCCCAGCTGAGTTTGGGGACAGTTCCTCCCAGAAATTTTACATACTTCTGTGACAGCAAATCCTACATGGTATTGAAGTTGTATATTTATGCTTGTCTCACTCTCTAGACTGTGTTTTGAAGGTAGGGCCTGACCGTGTCTTTTATTTCTGTAACCCTGATGTAACCCTGATGTGCCTGGTGTATAGTAGACAATATGTAAATATTTGCTGAAGGGAATCATGAATGCATGAGAATGGTTGCCTCATTTGTGCTGAGATCTGCTGAGAGGAGGTATCTCTCCCTTTGCTCAGGCATTGAAGGGAATATAGCTGGTGGAGAGACAGCAAGAAGTGGGCAGAGTGAGATAATGACCCACTTTACTTCCTGGATAAGTGGTGCTGGGCCTGTAGAAGAGCTTGAAGCTTTTCAGCTCCATGCTTGGCTTGAGAGTGAGAAGCTCTGAGATGCCTAGTAACCTGCCTTGATGCTTTTCTTCTTCCGGCAGATATGGGAATCCATAAAATCGGGTGCTGCTCTTGAAAATCCTGTGCTCCTCAATAAGTTCCTCCTCTTGACATTTGCAGTAAGTAAATGGGCTCTCCGTTGTACTGAGACTGGTAAAAGTTCCCCCAGTTCAACCCAGTGTACCAGTGGAATAGTCTGCTCTCCTCTCTCTGAAGCTGTTACCTATGTTATTTAAGTTTTCACTGTTAAAGAAACGCTCATTTTATTAATGGCCAGATAGTGCTGGCACCTGTTACTGATGCTAAATCAACTTATCCCTACTGATCATTCTGGCAGTAGATGCATAGTTTATGTAACACAGTGACCCAACTCTTGTTATTCAGGACATAACAAAGTCAAATTCAGGGAATAGTGGAGTTCAGCGTTGCTAACATCTTTGCTAAATATAGTCCTGCAGAGCTCAGTCCATCCAAATAAGGGAAAGGGGCTTTTAGATTAGAAGAGATCACACTATGAGGTTTGACCACACAATTGGTTTTTTGTTTGTTTTTGTTTTTTAAAGAAGGAAAAATGTTTTCTGTTAAGTGAAATCAAATTAAAATGAACATTTATGGCAGCATTGAAGAGGAAAATAAATCACGTTAGAATAAAATTTGCTGCCTAGGGGAGAAGAGGTAAGGAACTGAAGGGAAGGACCTGACCTTGGTGAGGGGGAAAGTAGGGAAAAGGTAAGGGTTGATTGTAGAGATCCCAGCTATGTAAACACACACACACAGACATGTGCAGGTGTATGTGTGTATATGTGTATACAACTAATTTATATCCTCTAAGATTATGTTGACTGGTATAATTTTCTGTCAAGTGTGTGATGCCTGTTGTACATTTAAGTTGTTTCCAGTATTCACTATTATAAAAAGTATTGCAGCATATTGACAAGATTACAATATTGTCCATATTGATTTTTTCCTGCTCATTTAATTTTTTTATTTACTTTATTTTTTATCATAATACTATAAGAAAGGGATGGGCAGGCTCATTTTATTTTTAGAATAAGTTCTTTGGAGTGGGCATATAAACACATTAATGTTGCTGTGTATTAAATGTATTGTTTCACCATAGCATCATCAGCTTTGGATATGAATCCTCTTCCCCACCTTTTTTTTTTTTTTTTTTTTTTTTTTTGCCAAGTTGTAGGTCTTACCTTTATCTCTTCTACCTCACACAACTTTTCTCCTGAATGCTGCCTCCTGTGGCAAAAAGAGGGCATGATAGGGATCAAACAAGTCTATACCAATGGGTGGCTATCTATAATGATCACACCTTCTAACAAGTTATAATACTTTTTAATGTAATAGTGAGGAAGAGAGAAAAAATGTTTAAATTTTATTGTCAGATTACTGGGTGCAATTTTGCATTAATAATTTGCCTATACATTTGAGTAATTTTGTAGGTTCTCTACTAGGATAAAGTTTATGTATTGCTAGTTAAAGATTTCTAGTTACTTGAACATCAATACATTTTCTGGACCAAGAGGTCTTGTTAGTAGAACATATTGATGATTTGTGTTTAATAAGAAAAATAACACTAGCTTTTAAAGTTTTAAGATATTGCGTAGAGTCAGTATGTGTGTTGGCCTTGATGCCCTTTCTACTGAGCATTCTTAGCCTAGGTTTAAAAAAATTAAAAGTCTCTGTCTTTTAAAATCTTCAGATGCAAAGGGTTTTACATTTAATTTAATTGACGTTCTTTGTATCCTGAAAATAATCCTAAGAAACTCAAGCCTTTTAACTTTTGAAGATGACCTGATAAAACTTCTTAGAATTTGTGAGGTCCTTCATCTTGGATTGTTTAACCATTTACTAAAGATCAGCTGTGACAAATCCTTTAAGTCCAAAGAAGAGAGAATAATCTCCGGAGGTGATTTTGCTTTCCTTTCTGCTGTTTTTAGGGCCCAAAGGACTAGACACTTCATTAATTTCAATTTTGCAGTTTGTTTTGCCACTGTGAAAAGGGAATTTGTTCCTAGTTGATCAATTAGTAGCAGAACTGCAAACCGAAGAAATGATAATTACTAGACTTTCTAATCTGGACACATGCTTGTATGTACATATATATTTTTAAAATCAGCAAGTATTATTCCATTTATATGAAAAGTCTAGAATAGGCAAATCCACAGAGACAGAAAATAGATTAGTGGTTGCCTGGGGATGGGGGAGGGGAAATAGGGAGTTTCTGCTAATAGGTGTGGGATTTCTTTTTAGGGGATGAAAATATTCTAGAATTCGTAGTATTGGTGGTACAACCTTGTCAATATACTAAAAACCCACTGAACTACACTTTAACATGGCGAATGTTGTGGTATGTGAATTATATCTCGATAAAAAATGTGTCTGGGACCTACCATGAGTGATTAAGGATCTAAATGCTATAGGAATTGAGAGGAAAGCACCCTCAGCCTGAGTGGGAACAGTAGCAAGGACAGCCTCATGGATCCTTTCCCTGGGTTACTTTCCCTAGTTGGGGGTTGGTCAACTATACCTTGAAGATGTAACCTCTTCCATCATCCGTACTCTTTACAAGTTATAACCTCTCTATGACTCTTACAGTTAATCAAACATTCACTTCATCTCCGCTCCAGGCAGAAAGTGAGCTGCCTAATGGCTGGGATTGGTGCTTGCTCATCATATTATCAGAGTGTCTCATTTTTGTTTTGTACATGGCAAAGGCTTAGTAGTTGTTGACTTGAATTTCACCAATAAGGCATTTCCAAAAGCAACATTCTGTTATCTCAGGCATGTATGGATATGTGAATAGCCCAGCTTCCTTGATAACATGCTTTACTTACTTGCTGGTGAAGAGAATGGTAGCTGTGCTTGGAGATTGTACCTACACAGATTGTATGTTGAGTATGTATGATCAGCAGAAAAAGCTTTGGAAGCATAGTTCTCTGATCACCTCTCTGCCACCTACCATCTTTTTTGGGCCACTCAGGTTCTTTATCCCTTTCTAAGCTTCAACTTTCTGTCTGTAAAATGGAATACTAGTAATTACTTCCCAGGGTGGTTTTGTATATTAAGCAATGATGAAAATAATGTCAATTACTCAGTGCACATTTTCTGTTAACAAGTAGTAAATAAATATATTACTTTTTATCATTATATGATTAGTGTGTAGATGAGAGTTTTTTGGGATCAGGACAAAAGTCCTATATTTTATCATCAGTTCTGTTGGAGGTGGGAATCTTTGATGAGAGGACATATTTTGTGTGCAACAACTTTTACTCTCTTAATTAACTTTGAGAAGTTCCATTAATAGAGCTCAGTGGCTCAGCCTGTAATCCCAGCACTTTGGGAGGCCAAGGCGAGTGGATTGCCTGAGCCCGCGGGTTCAAGACCAACCCCGGGCAACTTGGTGAGACCTTGTCTCTACAATAATTCAAAAAAATTAGCTGGCGTGGTAGCACACACCTGTAGTTCCAGCTACTTGGAAAGCTAAGGTGGAAGGATCACAGGAGCCTAGCAAGTCAATGCTGGGGTGGCCGTGAGTGTGCCACTGCACTCCAACCTGGAGTGTGCCACTATACTCCAACTCAAAAAAAAAAAGATGCATTTCAACTTAATTTAATGATGCTCTTCTAATACTCTATTTTGTATTTTTTATTCTAGGATCTAAAGAAATACCACTTCTACTATTGGTTTTGCTATCCTGCCCTCTGTCTTCCAGAGAGTTTACCTCTCATTCAAGGACCAGTGAGTTTGGGTCAACGGTTTTCACCAAAACAGGTATCAACAAATAAAACAAAATGCAGGTAAAATTGGATTGAATGTGCAGCAGTCATATAGTTAATTCCAAAGACAAACAGGTATTTCTTTGGGTGAAGAGGAAGTAGCTGTGGAATCCTCCAAAGAGGGTAATAGGAGCAGATTTATTTATAAAATGTTTGTAAAGCCTTTTTTTTTTTTTTTTTTTTTTTTTGAGTTGGGTTCTCACTCTGTCACCCAGGCTGGAGAGCAGTGGCACAATCATGGTTCACCACATCATTGACCTTCTGATCTCAAGCAATCCTTCTGTTCAGCTTCCTGAGTCTCTGGGACTGCAGGTTCATGCTGCTATGCCAGGCTAATTTTTTGTAGAATCAAGATTTTAAGAAGGGTAATAAGTTCACTAGAGATAGTCCCCAGAAGAGCAATTGAAATAATCAGACTGGTAGAACAAAGACCCTAAACTAGAGAATTCTGATTGTTGTTCAGGCAAAGATTATCAGGATGATTTGTTTTGTTTTGTTTTGTTTTGAGTTGGAGTCCCACTCTGTCACCCAGACTGGAGTGGCATGCTCCTAGCCACTGCAGCCTCGACCCCTGGGCTCCGGTGATCCTTCCGCCTCAGCCTTCCAAGTAGCCAGAACTATAGGCACGCACTACTATGCCTGGCTAATTTTTGATTTATTGTGGAGATGAGGTCTCACCAAGTTGCCCTGGTGGGTCTCCAACCCGCAGGCTCAGGCAATCCACTCACCTTGGCCTCCCAAAGTGCTGGGATTACAGGCTGAGCCACCAAGCCTGGCCTCAAGATGACTTGAATTCATGAAACACATTATTCACTGAAACCCTGAGTACTGAAGCCATAGAACAGTCATTCTTGCTTTTTAAAAAAACCCCAAAGGTTGTGGTTTTGGGGAACTAATTTCCTAAGAAAAAATCTAAGGGGGGGGAAAGAATTTTGGATGGGGATTGATTGTTGGCAGGTATGGAGTTTCTTTTATTGTGGATAAAAATATTCTAAAATTATCACAATGATGGTTGCACAAACCCATGAACATGCTAAAAAAAAAGCTAAATTGAATTATGTACTTTAAATGAGTGAATTGTACGATATGTGAATAATAACAGTAGAACTGTTAAGGATTATGGAAAGGTTCAGAGTAAAATTTGTCAACAGTAGATTCATGTTGGGTTATCACTGAAGAGAAAGAATGTTTAGTTACCTCTCTAAATCTCTGTGATTGATAGCTTAGGGAACCACCATGCTGTACCACAAAATGTCTCTGTGTGCCTGTCTAAGCCATACCACCGTGCACCTGGCAAATGGTCCATAAAAGTTAAGTGGTATTGTTTGGGGGAACTTTTATGTTCATTTGCTGTAATAGAATAACAGGACTGTGATCAGTCATTTACGGCTTTAATTCATTAGATGTTCATTTTTAGCCCAGAAATAAGTATGTCATTGTCTAGAGAATAATTTTATGTGTCCTGTTTTCAGATTCAAGCCCTTGAGCGTGCATATGATGATCTTTGTCAAATAGAACACATCACAGCCCTTCCTTACTTCTTAATCAAGTACGATGAGAACATGGTGCTGGTTTCCTTGCTTAAACACTACAGTGATTTCTTCCAAGGTGAAAGAACAAAGGTCAGACAAACTTTGAGTATCATTATATTATCTGGTAAAAAACCAAAACTGAAGTTCATGTTATGATAGACCACTGCAGAATTCCAACTCATTTAGATTTCCTTAGCCCTCCAGAGGATGTGTTAGAACATATCCTACTTACTTTATTTCTACCTTCTCCTACTCCCTTGTCATTTTCAAATCAGCTCCTCCAGATTTTTTAGCTGTGTTACATCTCAGAGTAATTTTGGATTCCTCACTTCCTGTTAAAACTAAAGTTCTTTCAGTTTTCTCTCCTAATGTATTTTACATCTATGTTTTCATTTACATTCCCAGAGCTCCCATGGTAGTTTAGATCCTCATTATCTCACTGCCATACAGTTAGAATCTTCTTACTTCCATCTCGCACAAAACCACTACAGAAAAATCTTCCTCAAACTACTCACATTGACTATATCACTATCCAAGAGCCTACTAGTGTCTTCCTTTTCTGCTTTATCTTCCACTATTTTCCTCATAAACCATTGCTCCAGCTAAGCCTGTCTGTTTTTTACTAAACTCTCCCACTCCAATCAAATATACCTAGAGCCTTTTTATTTTTTTGTTTTTCTTCATGTTGTATCATCATCCTAAAACATATTCTTCTGTTAAAACCTTAAGAAACTCTCTCTCTCCTTGAAATTCTACCTCTACCATGAAGCGTTTTCATGGATGTGGCTACAGATGACGCATTCCTATCTGAGCTCACTGTGCTTCTTCCCTGATCCTTATTTACAGGTCAAGTACCTTGTGCATGTTCCTCTTTGTGCCATAGTAGACGGTAAGCTCCTAAAGGGCAGGGCCCATGTCTTGTGACTCTGTGTTTATGTAGCATCTAGTACTTATCTGAGGCCCTCAGAAAAATTCTTCTGAGTGAATGAAAGAGTATTGTAAAGTGTATTTTAGAAGTGACCAGCTATGTAATAAGTTTCCTTAGCCATACAGGAGATTATGAATTACAAATAAAAGATTGATGAGTATTACGAAGTCATAAAATCAGTGGGATAATTTCAATAGCCGTGTGAATATATCAGAACTGGAAAAAGAGAGGCCTTTAATGGTCTGATTATTCCTTAACCTGAACTTAGGATGTTGTTTTTTAAGTCATATTTAAAAATCATCTACGTTAGTATTTTACTTTTCAGAAGAAGCCCTATTTAAATTGAGGACTGAGGATTGAATTTTTATTAAAATTTTTCTTTTCCCCCAGGAGGTTTCATAGAACTGAAGCTAAATTAGTGTAGCAGTAAGACTTACATTAATAATTTAAAGTCTAGTCTAGTGTGTGGTCCTAATGGAATAGCAGGCAGGATGCAGTGGCTTGTGTTTGAAAGCAAGTGTAGGTCAGCTTGTGTGTGATTAATCATTGGTCCTCCTCCAAAGTATACCTCTAACAAAATACCAACAGGTGGCAGAGTACCTTACAATTAAGTTTACAAAGTGCTTTCACTTTCACATACTTTTTATAACTGTGAAATAGGTGTTACTAGGATCTACATTTTTCTATTGGAAAAAAATAAGACTCAAAGTCACATGACCGAATTGTCTGATTCCAAAGTCCATTCCCTTTCTACCATTCCCTTTTCACATTGTTCAGGTGGAGGCAGTCTCTGCTTGACCTCTGGAATTAACTAAATCTGGATTTGACAGTCAGCATTGCCACTTGGTAGCTCTGTGATCTTGGGAACTGCATAACCTTTCTTCTCCTTAGTTTATCTGTTAAATGATGGTGGTACTACTTCTTACAAAGTCTTGTGAGGATTAAACATAAAAATGTGAATACAATGCCCAGCACATAGCAGGTTCTCAATATATAGCCATTTCCTTTTTCTTTCAACAGCAGCATATTTTGAACAGATCTCTAGGGTCTCCTCTAAAGTATCCTGTCCCTGAGACCAGCTGCCTGCCCGGTTCAGGCACATTGGCCTTCACTTGGTTAGGGTTGTATCTTAGGAAAGCCTGGATTAATCAGTGTATGTGATGAGCACCTACTTATAGACAAGAAGTTGGGAGGTATAGTTAAACCCATTCTCACACGACCTAAGGTCTTCAAGGGGTGATGAAGACATTGACTTGTGGAAAGCTACCTAGAAATTCAGGTAATGGGAGATAAGGGTCAAAGAAATGATGTGGGTGTTATTTTGTTTGGCTATGCCCTATATTATTCTAGAAAGAATCACCAGAAGCTGTGCAGCTTGATGGCCTCCTAGGAGTTTCATGGTCTTCTAGTTGGCCTTCCTACCTGTGGTTCTCAATGTTCCCATTTCTCCACCACACTGCTGCCCAAATGCATTTTCTGATTGTGCCGCTCTTCTACTGATAACCCTTCTACAGGTCTTATTGATTTCAAGGTAAAGTTGAAACTCCTTAGCTTGGCATTCAGGGCCCTTTTGATTCTATATCCTGCCTATACTCCAGCCTCATCTGATATTCCCAAGATGCACCCTGTGCTCTGGTTACACCTATACCCTCCAAATACTGCATGCTTTTCCCCATCTCTCTGCCTTCAGATGTGCCTTTCTCTCTGTTTTCTTTCTATCACCTGGCTAGTGCCTTACCCACCTTTCTGATTTGTCACTTTGAGAAGTGCTGGTGGATTTTGTGCAGGATTTTCACGTTCCTCTTCTATGTTCTTGTAGCAGCCTCCCTCCTAGCATTGACTGAGCTCCAGAGTACTCGTTGGCTTGTTTTTCTGCCCATCACATATCCCCAGCCAGCCTGCGAACAGCTTCAGTGCAGAGCCTTGTTTTACCCCAGTCTGCATCCCCAACACTTAGCGTAATGCCAGCCATTTAAGAGGCACATGATGTGAGGATGTTGAGAGGAAGGAGAGATCCTTATGGACTGGTATCATCAAGGAGGGCTTCAGGGGAGGGGGCAGGGGAAGTATGATTTGAACAGAAACCCAAATAAATGACTTCTGTAAAATCTAGACATCACTTGATTTTATTGCATTAGCCTAGTTCATTCTCTTTAGCATAATTGCAGTTTCCCTTTAGTATTCTTTGAATTATGACATTTCCTTGAAGGTTTTCACCCTGTTCTTTCAAAAATAGGCATTCTTTTTAGTATGAACTCCTGCAGTTGTGCTCTGGCTTCTTATTTTCTGCCTCTTTCTCTTACCAGCAGTTTGAACTCTGAGAAATCACTGTTCTTCTGTGTGCTTTGTATCTTCACATGTAAGATGAAGAAATGTTGGAATCCCTCTGGGCTTCTCTCTTTTTAGTCTATTTTCTCCTCTGGGTGATCTCACTGTGCCCAGGACTCCAGGAACCATTTCTTCACAAGTGACTCAATCTTCTGCCTCCAGCCTGAACCTCCTGCTGGATTCCAGGCCGCTTCATTCAACTGCCTGCTGGCCTTTTCCAACACCTCTGCTTCAGCACATTCTCACTGAACTCATCACCTTTGCTCCAATGCGGGTCCTCCTCCAGCACCACTGTCTTGGAATGATGCTGCCTCTGTCCAGTCACATGAGCCTGAAATCTGGGCATCCTGCTGGACACCTCTGTCCCTACCACCCCCGTGTCCTGTGGATTTCATGTTCAGTTGGCTGCCTTTGTGTTTCTTCTGCCACCCCTCTCAATCTCAGCTACCGTTGTCTTTCATCTGCTTCACTGCAGCAGCCTCCTTACAAGTCTCCTCATGCCCAGTATGGCCTCTCTTCAATCCATCCCTGTGTCATCCTCACATTTTTCTTTAGAAGAAAATGTGCAGATTTGATCATTTCACTCCCAGAATGAAACATGACTATCATCTTCCCTGTGCTCTGAGAATAGGAACTGAATTCTTTAAGATGTCATACAGGAGGCTTTGTGGCCTGGCCTCTGTGCAGATCTAGCCCTGAGTAATAACCCTGTTCCCTGCCATAGGGCTTTTTTAAGTGCCTTTCTTCTGGAACTCTCTTCTCTCCCCTTTCCACTTCTTCCTCTGTCCCCCTCCACATCCCTTTTGCTCTTTCTTCAAAGTTAAACTTAGCCATTTTCTTCTCAAGGAAACCTTCCTTGACCTATATAAAAAGATTTGTTTCTTTGTTGTGAATGCTCGTGGCACTGTGTATTCCTTCTTTGTAGTATTTCTTTTCTTTTCTTTCTTTTTTTTTTTTTTCAGTTCGGGTCTCATTCTGTCGCCTAGCGTGGAGTGCAATGGCCTGTCATAGCTCATTGTAGCCTCAACCTCAGACAATCTTCCTGACTCAGCCTCCTGAGTAGCTGGGACTACAGGTGCATGCCACCACATCTGGCTAATTTTTAAAATTTTTATAGAGATGAAATCTCACTTTGTCACCTAGGCTGGTCTTGAACTCCTGGGCTCAAGCGGTTCTCCTTTCTTGGCCTCCCAAAGTGCTAGGATTACAGGTGTGAGCCACACTAACTCCTTCTTTTTAGTATTTCACACAGTTGTACTTTTACATTTTCTTGAGTGATCATTGATTAATGTGTTTTTCTCCCATTTAAATGTAAGCTCCACCAGGGAAGCCACCCTGCCTTTGACTTCTCACTATTGCATCTGCCTGATGCGTGAAATCCAATGGATGAATACATTCATGCATGAATGAGGTGTGAAGCCTGGAGGCATGTGGAAAGCACCTGCGCAGTGCTTGACATACAGTAGGCCTTCAGTGAGTAGAGGTAGCTCCTAGTTAGGTTCATTCTAAGTGTTCTTTTTTTTCTTGAGTTGGGAGTCTCACTGTGTCGCCCAGGCTGGAGTGCAGTGGTATACTTATGGCCACCCCAGTGTCGATCTGTTGGGCTCCGGCAATCCTTCCACCTCATCCTTCCAAGGAGCTGGAATCATAGACGCGTGCTACCATGCCCGGCTAATTTTGATTTATTGTAGAGGCTAGGTCTCGTCAAGTTGCCTGGGCTGGTCTTGAACCCGCAGGCTTGGGCAGTCCCTTCACCTCGGCCTCCCAAAGTGCTGGGATTATAGGCTTGAGCCACTGAGTCCTGCCCCAAGTGCTCTTTTTAACGTAAGCATTC